TGAAGACATTTAAACAATGTAAAATCATCAGTGTGAAATACAGAATGTTAATGTAACATTATTTTTAAAAAATGCACCAACAAGGCACAGCAATTATCTGGTCATTTAAAAAAGTAATAGAGCATACAGAAATTCCTTGTGCAAATTTAGATGGTGATGGTACAAAACCCAGAACTCTACCTGTTCAAAGTAAAAAAAAAAACCACCCTCTGTTAGATTTGGCCATTGCAGTTAACAACTACATTGACTTGTCCTGCTCAAGTATTCATTTAAATTTTATTATGGTGCCAGAGGAATGTTAACTGGGGAGCTCACTTTCAAGGTGACACTTGCATGACAACAAGTGTCAGCATTAAGGCCACATGGTATGGGGTAGGAGGAGAATGGGAGGTAAGGTCAGAGAGTTCAGCAAAGTCCACAGCACGCACAGCTTCAGGCCACATGAGGAGTTCAGATTTCATCCTAAGGGCAATGGGAAGTTCTTGGGGGTTTAATCAAGGGACTGCCACTGAATATTCTCAAAAGATCATTCTGGCAGCTGGATTCAGGTGGCATTACAGTGGATGGGGGAAGAGCAGCAAAGAGATTATTGCAGCAGTCATGGCAGGATTATAGCTGGGCAATGAAGAGAAGTAGATGAAGTTAGGATACATTTTGGCAACATATTTAAGGGGGTATATGGATGGGTTAAAGGGGGCGGGTGTGAAGGGAAGGTAGAACTCACCGCTCCGTTGGTGCTATGTGCTGAATTAGGGGAAGATTATGGGTGGAATATCGGGAAGTGCAGGAGAGGAGCAGGAAAGAGCAAGAGTCCAGCTTAAGGTTATATTAACCTCAACATCTATTACCTATCCAGTATACCCATTAGGGATGCAGTCTGAAATAAAATTTGTTAGGTGATGGAGAAATCAGTGCTACATTTATAAATTCAGAAGTCATCATGTTGGGGCTGGAGCTGTGGCATAGCGAGTAAAGCCACCGCCTGCAGTGCCGGCATCCCATATGGGCCCCAGTTTGAGTCCCGGCAGCTCTAATTCCGATCCAACTCTCTGCTAAGGCCTGGGAAAGCAGCAGAAGATGGCCCAAGTCCTTGGGCTCCTGCACCCATGTGGGAGACCTAGAAAGAGCTCTAGGCTCCTGGCTTTGTATTGGCCATCTCCGGCCATCATTTTGGCCAATTGGGGAGTGAACCAGCGGATAGAAGACCTCTCTCTCTCTCTCCCTCTCTCTCTCTCTCTGCCTCTCCTCTCTCTGTGTGTAACTCTGACTTTCAAATAAATAAATAAATCTTAAAAAAAAAAAACAAAGAAGTCATCATGTTACTGCTAATGTTTACAGCAATACAACTGGATTCAGGTTGAGAATATAGCTGACATATAGGGCCTTGGACCCAGTCATCAAGTACTTTACCACTCAGAGTTTGAAAAGAGAAATTTAGCCAGCTAAGGAGACAGCAGTGGTGCAGTTTTGAGCAAAACCATAGAGCATCGCATCCTGGAAACAGAAAGTATAGAATCTGCAAGAAGGCAGAGGGCATTCGACTCTGTCAAGTAAGACGAAGGAGAAACATAGCCATTACATGTGGTCAAAGTAGAGGCCATTGGTGGCCACAAACAGAGGCTTCAGTGTCTATTGGGGCTGGAAATCTGTTCAGAGTCAACTGTGGCAAGAGTGGATTGTGAAAATATTGACAGAAAGATTCTGCTTTCTGTGAATGGTAGAGAAAAGTGGCAGAGAAACTGGAGAGGGATAAGCATTAAAGGCATATAATGGAATAGGCAATATCCTGCTGAGACGGCTCCAATGGAAAAGGAGGAAATGAAGATGTAAAAGGAAAACAAAAATCATGGTTAACTGCAGGAGTTAACTGCTTGGAGCAGGTCAGAGGGGATGGAATCCAAAGTAAAGTACAGGGAAAATCCTTAAAGAGAACAGAAACCCTCTACCTACCACAATAGGGGGGGAATCAGAGTGCATGGAATTTACATGTTGGTTGGTACATTTTGAGCTAGATTATAAGGGGTTATTTTGGGGACTAGAAAAAGAGCCTGTACACATTATAGAATATCAGAGTTAAGTGTATATCTGTTATATTACTGAATACATATAAATCTATCATTGTTGTGAAGAAAAAGGAAATACAAAGATTTGAATATATATCATAGATTTTTAAAAAAAAGTTTATTTGTTTATTTTCACTTACTGGGAAGGCAGAATGGGAGGGTAAGAGAGAGAGACAGAGACAGAGGGAGAGAGAGAGATAAACCTTCCATTCACTGGCTTGCTTCCCAAATGAATGCAACAGGCAAGGCTAGGCCAGGCCAACTTCATCCAAGTCTGTCATGCGGGCAGCAGGGCCCAAGCACTTGAGCTATCATCCACTGCCTATCAGAATTCATTAGTAAGGGCCGGCGCCGTGGTTCAATAGGCTAATCCTCCGCCTTGTGGCGCTGGCACACCGGATTCTAGTCCCAGTCCGGGCACCGGATTCTGTCCCGGTTGCCCCTCTTCTATGGCCCAGGAGTGCAGTGGAGGATGGCCCAAGTGCTTGGGCCCTGCACCTGCATGGGAGACCAGGAGAAGCACCTGGCTCCTGGCTTTGGATCAGCACAGTGCGCCGGCCGCAGCGCGCAGGCCGCGGCGGCCATTGGAGGGTGAACCAATGGCAAAAGGAAGACCTTTCTCTCTGTCTCTCTCTCTCTCTCACTGTCCACTCTGCCTGTCAAAAAAAAAAAAAAAAAAAGAATTCATTAGTAGGGAGCTAGATTGGAAGCAGAAGTACGGGAACTGGAGTCAGCACTCCAATTAGGGATGTAGGCATCGCAAGCAGTGGTTTAACCCACTGTGCCACAAAATCCGTCCATATATCCTTGGTCTTCCTTTAGCCTGATGGAAAATTTGATTCTTCCATTTCTACCCGTTTTATCCTTCCATGCTGAAGATTTATAATACTACTAGACAGGGAGCCAAACTCAAAACCTTGTTAAGTGTCACCCTACCATCATAGCCATCATTGGCCTTTAGATTGCATCCCACAGTAGAAGCAGCACTCATTCACTCCTCATGTGTCTCCTGTTCATAGGTCTTATTGTCTCAAATAGACATTAAGGTTCCAGGATATGGTCAAGTACTTTACAATAAAATATCATTGTCTCTCTCACTGTGAAAAACTTAGCAATAGATATAAAGTAAGTACTTAGTAAATATTTGTTGACTAATGTATCTGTTTAGAGATGAATGACTAATAAAGAATATTATGCAGCAATTGCTTTGCTAACAGAATATTCATAATTCTTCACAGCATCTGCTCGACATTGCTGGGAGATGCTCAAGTCATTCATCAATTTTCCTTTTCTTTATATTGTGCAATTAATTTGTGTGCATGAGCTCTAGAATGTATATCAATCAAAAGATAATAGTGTGCTGTGCTCAAGCTATCTTCATACCAATGATTTGCATGCACTAGCTTACTGAAAGGGCTTTCATTGAAGATAGTACTCAAGGGCAGGAAGCCCCAAAGGGAATATAATAGGAAGGACAGGAAATGACCAATGCTACTGTTCTCTGTAGCATGAAAATGAATTTGAAATCAATGAGGTAATATCCTTGGTATTATTATTAAGAGAAAATGTAACGCTGTAGCCTCTTTTGTAGTCTTAGATAAAATTTTTCTTCAGTCTGCACTGTAAGCTTATGTATCAATAAATTTTTAGAATATGGATGTCAGTCTGTTGAATTATATAAAACAAGTTTAATTCCCAATTAGTTTAATTCCTAATGTAATTTATAAGACAATTAAAGTATTTGGATATAATTATTTTTAAATCAGAATGTAAATATCACAAATACATTTTTAGCTTTAGGCGCAATTGTGCAATCATACAATACTGGCCATTAGTTTTATCCAACAGGTTACCATGGAGAGATAATGAATTAACAATCAGTATAGCATTTAACGGAACATCCCAGATACAACACATGGCAGTTTAAAGAGCTCTCGGAAAGTGAGTGATTAGATTCCTGTAAAATTTTTTCATTCTATGAAATGCCTATAGAAAGAATGAACTACTTTGTTTTCCCACACTATATGCAATTTGAAAAAGATAGTATCTGATAAAATGAAGTATATCCAGAGACTTAGAATATATGAAACTTTTAGGATATATGAAACTTGTGCCAAAAAATCAATGGGAACACTTCTGTATAATTCCACAGCCCTGGACAATACTAATAAAATATTTTAAAAACATTTTCTGCATAAAGTATTTTAATTGAAACATTTTACAAACTCCCTAAGATGCATGTGCATCTATTGTATTTCCATTTTTAACACACATCTCAAGATCCGATGGTAACAGAATCACTCAGTTTTTAAGTAAGAAACATCAAACCTGTTTAACTTTCATTGCTGGTTGCTAGTGACTTGTCAGTATTCTATAAGGATTCTTATAGTCCTTTTATTGAGTCCATAAATTATGTTCTAACTAGTAGTAAAAATCACAAAGTTTACAATGTTTGTTTAAAAAATAAAGGCATACACTTTAGAATTATTTTTAAATTAACCAATGAATAGTGATTCTTTTTGTGGGTTCTCAGGAGGGAAGGAAGAAGATATATTAATCAAGATTTGTTTTGTTTTTTAATCATCAGGGGAAAACATGTGTGAATATTTCTCTTAAAGCTTTTTTCTTCCCTATCGAAGCAATACATCTTAAAATGAAGGTTAATAAGCAATTAATGGCACAGCCACAACTAAATATTGCAAATGTGATAGTATAATATCTTGGTAAATATGAGAATTTTGAGAGCCATAAAATTAAAGACTTTGAAATGTGTAAGATCAATAGACATGACTTATCACTATTTAATATGAACTTTAATTTTTAAATGGCACATTGCAATGAAAAAATGTATTGCACAGTAAAATTCGAATTTCAATAAAGAAGCAAGACAAAAGAAACAAACTTTATATTAAAGCACCTTTAAGAGGTTATACTTACGCAGCAACCTCCTCTTTTGACAATCCTTTGAAATTCACCTCCAGATAATGATCTATGTCATCTTTCTCTTTGATCAATTGAGACCTAAATGAAATGGAAAGAAATAATAAAGCACTGCCTTATCAAGTTGAAAAGATACCAAATATATAATATGCCACCAGGAGAACAGAAATATCAGACTATAATGCTATATATAATAAATGTTCTGCAACAGCTATGGTTAGGTTGCTGATTGATAGTTTCCAAATTTTTATTTCCTGAATGGAAAAAGATAGGGAAGAATATTAAATTCAGAATGTAAATAAATACAACATGAACACACTGCAATAATCCAATGTAAACTGAGTGTCATCCTCAGAGCTTAGGGAGTCTTCGTTTTAGTCACATTGTTTCACGATATAACTTTCCAGTTGCAAGAAGTTACATTTGTTTGGCACAGAATCTTGAACCAGAAACTCCTCTTTGATACAAATGTGTAAACTGTATTTATTCCAAACTTATTTTGCTCTGAAAATGCCGTCTGGATAGTTTTTTTAAAAAAACACACATAAGATCTCTAATTACTATTAAAGATTTGGTGTGCAAAATGATTTTAAGAAGACTTTTTTGAGAACTGTATTATACTTGTAGGACATTCATTCTTCATACCTTTGCATCTTAAAAAAATAAAATGTTAACAAGTTCCCATAACCATTGGGACAGAGGACTAAACAAATATCTGTATTTATTCAGAAGCTATTAAATAATATTAATATAAATGTTGCCTTAAATGGTTATGATAAAAATAATTTTCTTAATAAAAATGGATGCAAGAAAAAGTTTTCTTTAAATTCTATCTGATTGTAGGGATGTGAGACTGGGTTATATTTTTGCTCGTCTTGAAGAGAAAATGCAAATCTGATCATTAAATAAGACAGGAAGAACAGGCTTTTTTCAGACTTCGCACATATTTCACAGCATTCAAAAGTAAAAGATCAAATATCAAAACATTTATACACAAATTATGCATACATTGAAATATTTCTCAGCTACAGAAAAAAGAAAATTTTGATTTGCTATCCTAAAAGAACTTCTATGATAGTTCAGCTGAGTATATTTATTTTGGGCCTGGGCCTTTGGTTTTTCCAAAAAAATACTAAAAATGAGCTATGAGAGGAACAAGTCTCATAATACTTTGATCATTTTGCCTTACAGGAATTGAATGGTATGCATATAAAGGAAATAAACTTACATTTGGAAATTATTTATATTGATGAAGAATCCCTATATTACTAAAGGTCAATGAAAGTATGTGGCCACTTCAAAGTAGCCCAACTCTGTTAACATTCACAATTGTGATAAAATACATCCAATTCTCTGCCATGTACTTTCTCAGTGACAACTCCTAGAGTTTAGCAGCCATCTACAGGTAGCAGCAGTTTATGGATGTATTTCCAGGCCCCCTGCATCAATTCATGAGCTAAACTGTGCCTGCCATCTACCCTAGGAATCAAGCTGCACCCTCCTTCCATGAAACAGCAGTCAGCACTCAGGAGGGATCTCATGGACATGCGTTTCATTCCTAATGCTTCTGCTTTGTCTCCTGCACATACTTACAAAAGGAAAATTACCTCAAAACTCTTTAAGAACCGTGACACACTTGCAATAGGAAATAAAATGATCAAATTAACACTGGTTGGACAGCTAAATTCAGTTGTCATCATATTTGAATAAGGTTCATCAATCCTTTTGAGAGAGCAAATTTGAATATCTGAAAAGATGGAACTATTTTTCTGTTTACTTTATTTTCTGAAGGGCACTACTACAGGACATTTCTTCTGTGTGGGAGGACAAAATGAAAGCCAGAGGCACATACCTGGGAATGGTTCCACGGGAGCATGGCAGCTTCTGTTTGGCTAAGGTCACAAGCTTTGGGTGTGTCACGGGCAGTGGAGGCAGGGTGGTCATTTTGGACTATAAAAAAATAAAAATAAATAAATAAATAAATGAATATGGAGGAAGAGTATTCTAAAGAATCAATCTTCAAAGAATCCTTTAAGATATTCTTAGCACCCACAGCCTGTCATCTGTGTGCGCAGGATCTAGAGCTCTCTTCCTTGGGAACAATATTTAGCAAGTAGATTCTGCGGGTTGTTTCCCTCATTATTTTCTTCTGGCTGCCTTTTGACCAGTTTACTACTTGTCTGCATTTCCACCACAAACAAAATGGATTAAGGAGAATAATCTGGTTGAAAGCATTGCTGATTCAGACAATCAGCAGCATTGTGAGAGTTTTGTTAAGGGGGATGGTTGCAATTACAGTGAAGAATTTTAGGTTGGCTATGGATTTCCAATTTTTATGCTTTTTTTTTTCTTGTTATAGTCAAGAATTGAAAATTGCTCACACTTTGCTGTTTTCCTAAAACCTTATCACTCACAAATAAAGACCTTCCCTTAGATACGATAGATGCTAAGAATGTTTTTCAACAAGATAGCTGCCCTGAGAAAGCACACAGATTTACTAGTTTAATGAAGCACTTCACAATTCAGTGGTTTTAAACAGTTCTTTGAAATAGCTGTATCTCTCACAGTGTACACGGCTTGGGACTTTGGACAGGGACAGCTTCTCTCTTGTCCATGACGACTGGGGTCTCTCCTGGGAAGACTCAGAAGCTGGGGTAACCCAGGGGTGGAGGACAGTACATATCTATAAGAGTCTTGACTCCTGTATCTGGTGGTCTGGTGGTTGGTGCTAAATATTAGCTAGAGCTTTAACAGAGCTTCCTCACAGCATGGCAACCTTGGATTTCTTCTTGGGAGATCAAGGCACAGAGATGAGGATCCCAAAGAAAATCCAGTCGGAAACTGCATCCCCTTTCGGGGTCTGGCCTCGGATATACCTTCACTTCCTCTATGGTAACAGGTCTTCCAGGATTTAAGGTCAGTGAACACAGAGCATCTACTGAGAGCAGAGTATCAAAGTCACATTACAGGAAGTGAATGTGGGATGAAAGATACTGCCGAGGCCTCTTTGGAAAATACATTGTGCCACATGATGAACAACAAGGAAGGCAAGTCTATATTTTTAAAATACAGTTGTCTAAAACTTATCCCAAAGAGGAGGAGATGTGGGCATGATGTCTGAGAAAGCTTGTCCCATGTTGCAAATGCTCTCAGATGCAAAAGAATCCACGCTTCTGTTAAATAGAAAGGCATTCAAAAGCCCAGTCTCCCAATCCCACCCCCACTATATCTGTATCTACTGGTTTCAATCTCCACTCTTAGCTTCACTAAGCAATTAGAAGACTTGTTTAGGTTTTAAATGACTTTTATCCAGTATTGACTACCCATGTGACCTATCACAACCAATCTTTTTTTATTTAATAAATATAAATTTACAAAATACAACTTTTGAATTATAGCGGCTTCCCCCCCCCATAACCTCCCTCCCACCCGCAACCATCACATCTCCCACTCTCTCTCCTATCCCATTCTTCATCACAATTAATTTTCAGTTATCTTTATATATAGAAGATCAAGTTAGTATATACTAAGTAAAGATTTCAACAGTGTGCACCCACAAAGACACACAAAGTATAGAGTACTGTTTGGGTAGTAGTTTTACCGTTAATTTGCACAGTACAACACATTAAGGACAGAGGTCCTACATGGGGAGTAGGTGCACAGTGACTCCCGTTGTTGATTTAACAATTGACACTCTTATTTATGATGTCAGTAATCACCTGAGGCTCTGGTCATGAGCTGCCAAGGCTCTGGAAGTCTCTAGAGTTCACCAACTCCAATCTTATTTAGACAAGGCCATATCAAAGTGGAGGTTCCTTCTTCCCTTCCGAGAAAGGTACCTCCTTCTTCAATGGCCCGCACAACCAATCTTGCTGTGAATAAATTCGACAGAAATTTATTGAGCTCCTACTTTGTGCCAAGCACTCTTCTAGATATCAAGGTTGTAGCAGTGAACAAAAACACAAAAATCAATCCATAATACAAGTGTGGCCCTACACAAACAAGCCAAGTACAGACAGCTGTAGATGATGAGATTCCATAGTGTAAAATAAAGCAGAGAACTAGAAACTACACAAATATTCATCAATAGCAAAGGCATAAATAAAAGTTAGAGATGAAAAAAAATAAGGACAATTTTGGTGATGTTCCAAAGTTGTAGGATCTTGAGGGTTATTATAAAAACTGTGGCTTTTACTCTGAGTTAAAAATCCATTGGAGAACTCTGAGCATAGAAGTGATTTCACCTTGAAAGGGTCACTCTGGCTTCTCTCTCGAGGTTAGACCACAGAGAGAAAATGTCAACAGCAGAGAGGCTACCTGGGAAGCTGCTCTGACATGGGGTGAGACAGGATGGTGATGTAAGGGGAAGTAGAGTTGGGGAGACCTGAGACAGAGCTCCCTCTGGACAGTAGAGACACAGTATTTCTCCAGTGCCAGAAAGTCATGGTGGGGTGGGGCTGATGGAGGGGAGGGGTCTCACAATGGGAGTCAGGCTGGGATAAGGGTAGGAAGGGCACTATGGCTTGAGGGGAAATATTTGGAAATTTAATGTAGAAATGGGTGGATCTGTGTTTCTGGAAAAGATAATTGTGTTGGCTTAAAAATATGCTTTCACATAATTAAAGAGATAATTCTCACATAGATTGCTATTTTAGCTATAACAGAAGCCTAATATGAAGCAGCTTATCAAGGCGTAATGTGATCCATGAAACATAATTTTCACTTATTTTTATGCAATTATCACTTTAAAGCACACAGTCTAAACAGCAGTACTAGTCTACTCCTTTAAGACACTGAAAATATACTACGTTAGGTCCCATAACTTCGTAATTTAGTGATTTCATTATTTTTTTAATTTAAAAATATTTTGCAGGGGTAGACATTTGGCACATTGGTTAAGACACAAGTTGTGATGCTCACATCCAGTACTGGAGTGCCTATGTTTGAGTTCCAGCTCCATTCCTGACTCTAGCTTCCTGCTAACGTGTACTCTGGTAGGATGGGGTCTTAGTTCAAGTGGTCAGGTCCCTGTCACCCAGATAGGAGACCTGGATTATGTTCCTGGGGAGTGAAACAGCAGATGGGATATCTCTCTCTCTCTCTCTCTCTCTCTCTCTCTCTTTCTCTCTCTCTTTCTCTCTCTCTCTTTCTCTTTCTCTTTCTCTTTCTTTCTCCAATTAAATAAAAAAGAGAGAAATCAATTTTTTGGAACAGATGCTTCTTAACTAGTTGATTTACTTGAGCAACCAGAACTTACCAAATGGTAAGACTATGCAGAACTTGAGGTAAGAAGTTATAACCAACATAGTTGAGCCCCATGTACAAGTCTGAGAGGGCACCAAAGGTTCCTCAGATCTACCTCCCACGAGCCTACTTCAGAGAAGCTGTGCCATCTCTGTATTGCACCGTCTTCCAAACTTACAGAGTAAACCCGACTCACCTCTCCCCCTAATCCTGCCCCATCTAGTCCTAGTGGATTTCAAAAAGGAGAGAAGAAAACAACTATGCTTGGTTTGGACGGGGCATTCCATGCTTTAAGACTCTTCCAAGAGCCTCACTTTGGGTGCAACTGGCATTGGGCCAGACCCTCTCTGCACCATCGCAAGGAGCTTCAAAATGTGGAACAGCACTTGCAATTTCCCTAAACAGTAGGAAGACTCAACTACTTTTAGACAGCCAGAGGAGCACATTGCAGAAGTCCTGATCCAGCCAACATATACCATCCAGCCAACATATACCATTCAGCCCTTTTGTGCATCTTCACAAAACTTAGCTCACCAGTAGACTATATAAAATGTATCCTTTTGATGTTTGCTTAGGCTAGATGAATTCTGCTAGAAAATATAAGCATCTCATGAAATCAAATGCAAATGATATACATGGAGAGCAACATGTCTTCTTTGTTACACGGATCAACTGCAATTCTTTTTTTTCTTTTTTCAAATTCTGAGTCAACGTTTCCTGCCATTAAAGTTTCAGCTGCCAGTGCCTTCATTTTGCTCTCCTCTGATCTGAGAACATTAGCAGCAGGAGCACCTTTACTCTTAAATTTAGTTGAATGTAAGTATTGCAAGCCCTGCTGGCAAGCCTCAAGGCACAAACTCTGAAGGGGGGGTGGTGAGAGCTGCATGATAAAGTGGGAAAAAACTTATTAACTGCATATTGCAAAACTAACCCTCATCCAATCTGTGTTGGAAAGTTTAAGCTCAGCATTAGGGTGGAAATCGGGAAGGTCTCTCCTTGCTTTCAACCTCCACATCTTAACCTGCTTTATGCTGGTTCAGAAAGGGCATTTTGTTTCTCACCATCAGTACATGGCTACATATGAGTATTTGATCACGTAATCTGAATTTTATGGATAGACACATAACATTTGAAATCACCAACTATTTAAAGGGATCCTGTACCAAATTATTTTCTCACCTAATTAATCACTGCTCTTTTATGCCTTCTAAGTTCAGTCTAATTTATGTTGATATCTCTGATTGTAGGAAGTAGCTGTATTGTGGCTCATAGAAGCAGCAAAAGGGGGGGAGCAAGTGGGAAAAAAATGTTAAGTATGCCTAGCGTATTGCCACTTCAGGTCTGAATTACACCTGTAAAGTGAAGTGTGGCTTCTGTTTATTAACATGAGTTGCCTTGTTTTCCTAGTGTTGGTCAGACAGCAGTTCCAGCTCCTGGATGAGCTCAACCAACACTCACCCACAAAAAACGGGACTAGCACTAGGGGTGAGAGACACAGGCCTGTCACAGAAACCGGTCATATCAACCTTCCCCAACACACTGCATCAGGGTTCTTCCAGCTCAATCCCAGAGGAATACAGGTAAGAAGGGTACGACTAGAGGAAGGGGACTTGCTCAGGTGAGCAGGGGAGGACACTGAGGGGTACCTCTCTGGCTAGTACCAAAATGAGCCTAGCACCAGGAGCCCAGACTGAAGCAGTCTGTCAGGAGGACCCAGAGGCAGCTCCCCCCAAAGACAGCAAGTGGGCGGCGCTACAAGTGGCACCACAGGGGCTGAGACAAAGATCAAAAGGCCGCCTGAAGCCATTCCACTGTTGGTATTCAGAAGAGATTTGGTGCATTCTTTGATCTGCTGGTTGGCTCCCGTATCACAGTTGCAGTCTCTATGTTTGGCCCCCACATGCAAAGACAAATGAGAATGGAGAAATACAGGATGAAAGCTTTGAGAGTGCTAGGTCAGGTGGATGTGTCCCACGGTGTGAGTTTAAATTTCTGGCCCCCCAAGTAGAATTCTTCAAAGGCTAACCCTTCTCCCCACTATCCCCAGAGATGCCCTCCATGGAGGAAGCCTACAACTGTGTAGACCAAGGCTACTTTTGGAGGGACCATGTCTGAGGCGGACCAGTGTCTCCTGAGTTCAGTCACTTTGGGGGTAAGAGCAGGGAGGAGAAAAGTGAAGTCAACAAATGACTGCAAGTAAACTTATCGTATATGATCGAGAGATTTCAAGACAGATCTGATTATCACCACAGAAAACCACTAAGAGTTAGAACTCTTCAGATTATCACCAAGTTCTTAGACTATGAAAGTTTAAAGAGAACTACAGAAAGGATATTAATTATGTTCCTTAAAAGTTAAAAAAAAAACTGCACATAAATGAGTTTCAACAGTCATTAAGTCTTTGTCCCTTGCATTAGAATTTTGGACACCTTTTGCATTCTGTCTCGGGTAATTTGCTAGGTTGTTAAACAGAACAAGTACTTCCTACCATCTGACACTTACTGCAAGTTCAATCAAAGCAGAAAGCAGGAAAAGTGCTTGAAAAGAGACCCTGGTTCACCTGACTTACATTTGCAGGTGACAGCTGAAGAAGGAGCCTGCACTTACACTTCAGCCTGAAAACCAGCGAGCACAGAGCACCAGCAAAGGAGAGAAAGAAAAAGTTAAAAGTCGGCCAGTGGGATAACTTCTCTCTTCATCCCACATTCATTCATAGAGTGTCTCCTATGTTTAGGGGAGCTTAAAGAACAAAAACAAAAACAAATGCAGCTCCAATCACTAATTCAACAGAACACCAAAATATCTGAACTATGCAAATGGACTAATGTCTTCCAATACAAAGATGATGTCAGGGATGGCCATTAGTTTGTTCTGTCAAACTCAGGAGATGAAGGTATCTTTCCGGAAACCTAGAGCTTCTGAGCTCCCTTTATCCTCTACTTAGTTCTAATCGAGGCTAATGGACTGGTCTCTGAGCCTGTTTACTTTTCCACTCCGACCTCAGAGGGTCAAGCGAGCTGGGGAGCAAGCAGCGTGCCTTTCCCTACTTCCTCTGCGTCTCTTCAGGTAAAAGGTGACGAGCTTCTCCGGAAGTCAGAGACCCGCGGATGGAGAAAGGCCAGGAGGGGTTCTCCAGCCTACAGCCCACCCCTCCTAGGAGCTGGAAAAGTTCTGACCCAGCCTCGCCTCTGCCGTCACGAACCTCGCTGGACTGGCCCCGGGCTACAGCTCCGGTTTTCCGTTCCCCCGAAGTGAGTCCCCCACCGGTGACAGATGCTGGACGCCGCCCCCTCCTCCCGCTGAGGTTCCGTGGCCCCGCAGCAAGGCGCTAAAGGAAGGGGACGCCGAGAGCGTCTCCAGGGAAACAGAGGGGCGGGGCGGGCCGCCGGGGGCGGAGTTAGGCTACTCTAGAGCTCGGGATTGGGGCAGCTCTCAGACGCTCCGAGAAAGGGGCGGGGCAAAGGGAGAGGGCGGAACCTATTGGCTTCCGGGCTGGGTCTTCAGATCCAGCAGGCTCTTCCAGCCCGGCTACTACAGGAAGTTAGGCTCCCTTAAGAATTAGTTCCTGAAACCCAGCGGCCTGTAATCATTTCCTTCATGGCCCTGCAGTATCAGTTTTTTGTACTGCCCTTTTGTTTACAATATTGATGCAAAACCCTCAGACTAGCATTCATACCTCACCCCCATGATCTGACCCTACTGTGTGCACTATGTAAGTCATTCATTCCCTCTTCCTCTGCTGCAGTCAAAACCAACACAAGGGGCCGGCGCCGCGGCTCACTAGGCTAATCCTCCGCCTAGCGGCGCCGGCACACCGGGTTCTAGTCCCGGTCGGGGCGCCGGATTCTGTCCCGGTTGCCCCTCTTCCAGGCCAGCCCTCTGCTGTGGCCAGGGAGTGCAGTGGAGGATGGCCCAGGTGCTTGGGCCCTGCACCCCATGGGAGACCAGGAAAAGCACCTGGCTCCTGGCTCCTGCCATCGGATCAGCGCGGTGCGCCGGCCGCAGCGCGCCGGCCGCGGCGGCCATTGGAGGGTGAACCAACGGCAAAGGAAGACCTTTCTCTCTGTCTCTCTCTCTCACTGTCCACTCTGCCTGTCAAAAAAAAAAAAAAAAAACAAAAAAAAAAAACCAACACAAGGGACCAGCGCTGTGGCACACTTAGGTTAATCCTCCACCTGCGACGCCGGCATCCCAAATGGTCGCTGGTTCTAGACCCTGCTGCTCCTCTTCCAGTCCAACTCTCTGGTATGGCCTGGGATAGCAGTGGGAGAAAGCCCAAGTCCTTGGGCCCCAGCACCTGCACGGGAGACGGGGAAGAAGCTCCTGGCTCCTGGCTTCAGATCGCGCAGCTCTGGCCTTAGCGTCTGGGGAGTGAACCAACGGAAGGAAGACCTTTCTCTCTGTCTCTCTCTCTTACTGTCTATAACTCTACCTGTCAAATAAATAAATGAAAAATCTTTAAAAAAATAACAACACAAATATTTCCCAATCCCGTCTCCAGATGATCCAGTTTTCAGGTGTGGTTAGCTAAAAACTCAAGGACTCTTTCAGACAATCACCTTGCATCCTACCCTTTTAAAATTTATCTTTGAGTTCTCACCTGAAACTTGGGATTTTAGATTTAGATTTTTTGTATAACAATTAAATGTCATCTTGTTCATGTCAGCCCAGCATTTCCATCTCTCCCCTCTCCTGTAAATGCATAAAGTGGGCCTCTTTTTTCATTGTCTCAGTCGTTTAGGTGGCCACGGAGTGAGGCTTGTTGCTTGTTGCCTCTCAAATGCACGTGTGCTGGAAAGTGAAGCTCTTACTCTGTAAGGAAGGGAGGCAGTAACATGACTCCCAGGAGTCATACTATCAGCCGTAAATCGATTCTATTTGGAACACAAGTGTAACAACCAGAACCACACTCTTACTCCAATACCAGATTTGCTGCAGCAAATTATTAAATTATTTCCACATTACATATTCAACTAATCACTGTGACTGCCTGCAACTGGGCTCTACCCCTCCCCCACATCAGTAAGGGGGAATTCATTTCCCAGTTTTCAGCATCACCTTAACACAACCCCACTGTGACCTGTGTGAATTCTGCCCCAGCCCTGGCTTTTCCACTGGTAGGAGTTTCTGAATTCCGTACGCCTTCCTTCCTCACAGGATGCTCTCTTAGCTAGCGTTCCAGGTGGCTTCTTCCTGCCACTTCCGATTTATTCCTCCTGCTTGCTGTTTTGCACTGACAGTTCTTGGACTACTTCTCTTTGTCTCTCTGCGTATTCCTCAGAACTGGGAAATCCAGTTAAAGAATTTGTTTGCAAGTGGCAGGAAACTCCAACTAGCTTGAGAAAAACGGAAACCATTTTCTGCCAACAAAGCATGCCACCTTTGGGTGCAACTTTATCTAGATTCAGGCCCTTCTGAAAGCTTTGAGAACTTTCAGACACCTCCACCTTTTCCTACACAAAGCTCTCTCCCTCTCTCCTCTCCTTCCTTGTAACCTACCCTTATCATGTCGTGTCACTCTGTGTGGTGCCTGGTTTATATGAGTCAGTCCTCCCCGGAGATACTGGGAATTCCTCAAAAGCAGAGACTGTCTTATGGTCTTCTGAATTTCCTGGGACAGTACAAGGCTTGTATATGGTATGTGCTCACAGTGTTCTTTGAATTAACTGAATGAGTGACCGGACAGATGGAGGCTGCAGGAGCCGATTCTTCTTGTGTAATTCTTCGGAGTTCCTGCTCTCCCTTCCCCATCTAGAACTTAAGGAGGAAGGGGAGGTGCCACAACTGACATCAGTCTGAATGCTCTCACCCACAGAGCAGCATCAAGATCGCCCTCTTCTCACCTTTGGTCTGGGGAAAGGTTTTTAGTTTACGTCAGCCCCCAGAGCAGCCCAGCTGCTAATCCTCTAGGTGCAGGGTTGGGGAAGAACATCCTGCCCATGAGTTGTATGAGGCCAACCAAATCTTTTGGTCTGACCCTGCCAAGGCAACCTCAGATGGGCCTGGAAACTCAATAAAGCTATAGCAGACTGATTTTTAAATTGATATTTTTATGGCCTTCAAATGATGTTATAAATATCCAAATGGCCCTTGGCAGAAAAAAAGTTTCCCTCAACCTGGTAGGGGAAGCCAGTGCTTCTTAACTACTATGGATAACTTTTCTGGCCTTGTTTATAGTGTAATAATCATCACTTGCAGTAGGAAAACTATTCTGAATCTTTCCCGTGTCACTGAACACATTCCCAAGTAATACATGAAGAAAGGCTACAGGATGGAGGAGTCAGCATTGTGTTTTAGCAGATAAAGCCACCCCCTGTGACACTGGCATCCCATATGGATACCAACTCAAGTCCAGGTTGTTCCACTTCCAATCCAGCTCCCTGTTAATGCACCTAGGAAAGCAGTGGAGGATGGTGTAAGTCTCTGGGCCCCTGCACCCATGTGGGAAACCCCAATGAAGCTCCTGGCTCCTGGCTTCAGCTTCCAGCTCTGGCTGTTGCAGCCATTTGGGGAGTAAACAGCAGATGGAAGACCTCTTTCTCGTGCACGCTCCTTCTTTCTGTAACTCTGCCTTTCAAATAAATAAAGGAGAGGCAGAGAGAGGTCCTCCATCTGCTGGTTCACTCACCAGTTGGCTGCAACAGCCAAAGCTGCACCAATCCAAAGCCAGGAGCCAAGAGCTTCTTCCAGGTCTCCCATGCGGGTGCAGGGGCCCAAGGACTTGGGCCATCTTCTACTGTTTTCCCAGGCCATAGCAGAGAACTGGATGGGAAGTGGAGCAGCTGGGACTCGAATCGCCACCCATATGAGATGCCAGTACTGCAGGTGGCGGCTTTACCCACTATGCCACAGCACCACACCCCTCCCTTTTTTTTTTATACAGGATGTAAATGGTTGAACATTTTTGTATCTAACAATGTCCTTATTTTGCCTTGGTCTGCTTAGCAAGGTACGATAGTCTTAGTGATCACTTCTCTCAGCATTTAGAAGGTGTTATTTCACTTTTCTCTAGTAAAATATGTGACACCTAAGAGCAGAAATTATATACCAATTTTATTTTTTTCTTTTGCATGTGATCTTGTAATAAGATTGTGACAACCACAAATCCCAGTGGCCTAAAACAAAATTTTATTTTTTAATTATGATTTGTAACCACCACAAGCCAACCTTGGGTATTGAGCCAGGCTGTCCTAACTCCAGAATCAGGCTGGACAGCTGCTCCCATCTGAGGTATTGCTGGTCTGTGGTGGAGAAAACAGAGTAAACTGCACCTTGGATTTAAAGGTTTCACAGGGAATGATATCAATACTTCCTCTCCATTTCATTGGCCACAGCAAGTCAAATGGCCATGTCAACGTGAAGACACCAGGTAACTGCAATTATTCCATGTGTCTGAATGAAAAACATGCTGTCTGGGAATGGCCATAATCACTAACCGAGATCTGTTTTTGTTTTTTCCTTCTCAGTGCAGGCATTTTTAAGGTTATTCTCTTTATTCTTTTTGTACTGACATTTCTTAGGGTCCCTAGGTAGAAACCTTAAGCTAAGTACTCCTCCTATCCTAACTTAGACTTAGATAATTATTCTCTTTTTAAAAATAATTTCCATATCTCATTCTCTATTACCTTTTTCCATGATTCTGTTTATTCAATGAAAATCCCTGGGGCTGGTCCTTTTTATCCCTGACACTCATTTTCATTCACTTTACATTTTTGTTCTAAGATCTAGAAATTTTTAAAAATATTCATTTCCAATCTTTTATTGATTTTTTTGTGAGTAGAAGTCATATGTTTAGTTTTTGACAGTTTTTTCTTACTTACTTGTTTTTTAATTTTTTTACTTAAAAATTTTAACAGATACATAAAGTTACATACACTTATGGAGTACCGTGTGATGTTTCAGCCCTTGTATGCATGTGTAATGGGTACATATATCTCAAACATTCAAAATTTCTACATGGTGAAAACCTTCAAATTCCTATCCTCTAGTTTGTTTAGTAGAGAAATATACAACCCATTATCTACGGTCACCCAACTGTGCAGTAGAACCCCAGAACTTCTTACTCTTTGCTAAATATAACTAGAACCCATTAATCAACCTCTCTCTTCTCTACACTCCCCCTTTCCTCCTCAGCTTCTGTTAACCAATTATACTTTTACTTCTGTGAGGTCACCTTTGTTTAGACTTCATATATAAATGAGTTCATGCAGCACTCGTCTTTCTGCCTGCCTTGTTTCACTTAACATAAAAACCTCCATTTCTATCCATGTAGTTGCAAAGGACAAGTTCTTATGTTTTGATTACTCCTTTTTTAACAGACCTTTTTCTTCTTTTATGGATGCAATATCATCT